AGTCACACTCTCACGCACCCCCTCCCCACACGCATTCCCAACCACACCCCGCAGCCCAATTTTTCAGCTACTTTTGCATCTCACAACGAACTGTTTACAGCGGTAACCGATGTCCAGAATCGCACCGCAGACTGAGCTGCCGACCCCTGCAATCTGTTCCGCCCTTTGTGGAAGTATATAAGTCTGCGATTTTGTTGTAAAATTCATTGTTGAGTGTTCCGTGTTAAGCGTCGCAACGTTCAGCGTAAATTGTTCTCCGTCAGTAGCGGTTTCGCTGCATTTCGTCCTCCTTATCCCAACCGACCTAAGCCTCAAGTGTGAACTTTTTTTGATGAAGTTGGTTTTGGTTATCTCAGCGTCTCCATCAAGTACAGTTGTCAGCAACATCGCCGTTCATCCAATATCATCCAAACATCATCGTAACGTTCGTCGCAACTTTGTCGTAACACACATGTGTATGCAAGAACAGATACACAAGCACACACCTGTGCACAGGCACACGAAAACAAACATACAGACATACATGCACATACACAAGCACACTCACATGTACACGTGTTACATACCTCCTAAGCAAACTTACACATACGGACACACGCCACACATACAAAAGCACGCATACATGCATGCATAAATACACTAGCTGGACTAACAACAGTAGCAACAGTCAAGGAAAAATCTTTTTGGCTTTCCATGGATATTGGGGACAGTATACGCTTCGAGCACAAACATACTTAACCTTTTCATAAGGAGAAGACTTCCTTAGGCAGTCCGTATAGATATCATGAACTAACGACACATTAGCATCGCTGAGAAGCTGCCATGCAATCGTTCGGAAATGTTGAGGAATTCCGCGACGAACAAGTTCCTGTAATCACATTTCACGTAAAATCTTGATCCCAGCTGAACAACGAGCGCTTTACGGTATCGCTCTTTCCTTAGAAGAGGACGGCCCTCCCAAACAACGTGTCCGATCCATAAGTCTAAATCAAACGGAAACGTGACAAAATTTGAGGCTTGAATCTGTTCGTTTTTCACGTGTACGACTCGTACGTCTCGGTATACCTGTGCTCAGCTGTGCGAGTATCCGTGTAACGTGGCATACTTATTAGTATTTTTGGTGGCATTCAATGCTTCAAAACTGCAATTCAAGTGAATTGCAAATTTTTTAACCGTTTTCATTTAAAATTTATTGGGATTATCGTTTTGAGCATTAATAATTAATACTTCATTTTTTTCATAAACTTGCTAATTTATTAATTTAAAAATTTGCGATGAGATGTGGGGAACTGCTCTACCGGACTTCTAGAATTTGTACCGAATTAGAAAAGCCCAACATGATTTTGAATCTGATTATCAAATAAATAGTTCTCAAAGAAATATCGATTACACCAATGTGCTTGCTTGATTTAATAATTTAATAAGAGATACCGCTTGATTTATTAAGAGATACCGTGAGTAAACTAGCGCATAAAGGGAACAGTTACGCTCAATAGCAGTGAATTTTTTACTTTATCACCAGTGAATTTACCTGAACTTTGCCCAAAATCAAAATTAAGGCCTAAAGGAAGCTGCGGTACTTGAGAAAGAGGGAGAAGGCAGAGGATCTGAAACCTGTTTCAAGTCCTCGCCCCGGTGAGGGTTTAAAACTTCACAAACGTGATTTTTTCCGCTTCCCATCGGTTTCTATAGTTGCTGGTTTTGCCATGAAGCAGAAAAGGAAATGAAGATTGTACAGAGATTAAAAAAATTGAGAAAACTAATTTCAGGTGACTTTAAAGGATACTCTACACATGTATATTTGCGTGAAAAATCCCCACACATGTATATTTGCGCAAAAATTTGGATAATATTTAATACTAAATGTATCAAAGCTATCCAGGCAGCATTGATATACCATGTTAGTCATGTTACTGGAACGTACTTAATATTCGGGATAAAAACACCTCCAGAAAGTTCCATAGATCTACACACTCAAACATGCAGTTTTATTACGTGATCATTATAAGTACCAGTGGAAACCTTGATATAATTCGGCCTCTTTTTGGATTCAACTTCCCAATACTTGATCAAATTTCCCCAAACAGCCCAAAGATCCAAATCTTCATCATCTTCAGCCGGTACACTGTTCTCACGTGACTTATTTGATCTAAAATCCAGTAAAAATTTTAAGCTTAAACGGTTTCTTGTGTAACACGAGTACCAAATCGTAACTGTTCGATGCTTAAGTTCTGAGCAAACTCTTGGCCAATTTAAGTAGCCGGTGGCGAATACTGGTCATACAGCAAGGGTAGGCAAAATGGAATCAATAAAACTGACAAGGAAATAAGATGGAATTTAATGACTTACCGTGGACTGAAGCTATCGGTGGGTGCGCTTCCGGAGCTACTGGAACCAGTTCGGATTGATGCAACAGAACGTGAATCCAGTTCATTGCACGTATTCATTTGTTCCATCTTCATTAGAATCGAAACAGCCGGTTCCGGTACACCGTCGTCTAATGTGGTACCACAACTACCACTGCCACCGCTACTGGCAGTAGCAGTGCCTGGTATTGCTGCAACACTAGACGATGCTGCTGTCGTTGCTGATCCTCCAGCTCCAGACCACGATGTTCCGTTTGTTTCTGGAAAAAGTTGAACAGTAGCACATTCAGCTAACTTCAATGATGAAAACGCTTTCACAGTAATGAAGCACCTCTACATTCAATACGAAAAGAAAGTACTAAAGTGCAAGTGGAAAAAAACAATGTGAGAAAGTAGTAGTTTTAAAGAGCTAGACATCATTTGGGTGACTGAACACCTTCTACAAGCAACTGGAGGAAAACAGCTAACGAGTTAGTGAAAAAAACCGGTACAACAGAGTGTACCCGCAAAAAAGGGAAAGCGTTTAGGCGACCTCAGAAAAGGTAGCGGACGCTGGTGCATGAGTAGCACCGCCTGGAAACAAGCAGTTCGGGATAGAACAGCTTAAAACAGCTTCACTCGACATGTATATACGTCTCAGTAACACTGGAACTCCATAATAACAGTCCAGGGATGTCTTCGTTATCACGATACACAACAAACAATCTCCAATTTTTGAAGTGACAAGCAGAAAAACAAAAAAAAGGGAAAAAATGCTCTTGCTAGTCTGATAACCCAAAATTTACTATATCTTTTTCCAACTACGGAGTTGTTAAATTTTTTTTT